GATCTGATACCAAGTTTGAATATCCTCCAAAGATTTTATTGCTAGTAGACCTACTCATAAAAGAGGGGCTAAAGGAGGTTCTCCACAGCCAAAGAAACAACTTCTTTTAAAATTAATTTCTTGCAGGTATACACAATGGAGAGGTTGACTGTCATGTCTTCATATATGTACATAGGAAAGGCATGTCAGATTCATTCCACTTTCTTTTCTTTTCCTATCCCCACTCCCTTCCCTTCGTTCCCCTTTTCTAATCTACCGAACTTCCATTTTCCACCCCAGACTATCATGCTAAGTGAAATAAGCCAAACCCAAAAAACCAAAGGTTGAATTTTTCTCTGATATTTGGAAATAAACAACTTTTTAAAAATGTGGTATTATTATTTTTTTGTCAATTGACCTTTATTTTATTTATTTATATGCAGTGCTGAGAATTGAACCCAGTGCTTCAGACATGCTAGGCAAGCGCTTTACCACTGAACTACAACCCCAGTCCAGGAAACAACTTTTAAAAGGAATCTTAACACCACTGAGAAAAAAAGAAAGAGCACAGGAAATAAATATATAAGTAAATAAAATAAGACTTTCCTTCACCTTTTATGTTTTCCAAAGTATAGTGGATGATTATTCAAAATTGCTTGATGTGGTTCTAAATGTACATAGAGGAAATATCTAAGATGATTATATTATAAATTGAAAAGGGTAAAATGAGGTACATTTCTCCACTTTAAATGGTAAAATGGTGACACTAGCAAACTAACGTGTGTGTGTGTGTGTGTGTGTGTGTGTGAAATATGTAGAGCAACCAGTCAAAGAGATATACTGCTGCAGCCCAGCTGGCTGGGCAAAATAACTGGGGGGTGAAGAGCAACTTGTGTAGATTGATACAGCAGGAGTGGAAGCCCATTTATTGTAGGACAGGAGGGGTATTTATACATTCCACACAGCTTATCTAATTAACATAAACTCGATACAGCAGTCAACCAATAAGGAATCTCCACACTTAATGGCTCGCTGGCGTTACTTCACAAACCACTCCCTCTGGCAAAATGCCAGGCGCCATCCAGACTTGTTTACAGACTCTAACAATATACAAAGTGATACAATGAAAGGCATTATTTCATACCAAAATGAAATAATAAGGAAGTATTCTAATAATTCACAGGTAGTTAGGAAAAAGAGAAACAGAACTTCAGAAGTAAGTCTTTGCTTAGCTTGAATGAGGTCTTGGGTTTGATCCCTAGCACCAGAAACAAAAGAAAACAAAACAAAAAGCAGAGATCAAACAGAAAAAAATAAAATAAAATGGCAGGCTCAAGCTCTAACATCAATAATTATATTAAATGTAAATAGTTAAACACATTAAGGCAAAGATATTGAAAGGATGGGTTTAAGAAATCATGACTATATATGCTCTATAAAAACCTTCAAATATGATGATACAGGCAGACTAAAAATGAAAATGGAAAAATATTATAATAATATTGTTAGGGTCTGTAAACAAGTCAGGATGGCACCTGGCATTTTGCAGAGGGAGTGGTTTGTGAAGTAACGCCAGCGAGCCATTAAGTGTGGAGATTCCTTATTGGTTGACTGCTGTATCTAGTTTATGTTAATTAAGATAAGCTGTGTGTAATGTATATATACCCCTCCTGGCCTACAATAAACGGCTCCTACTCCTGCTGTATCAATGTACACAAGTTGCTCGTCACCCCCCGGTTAGTTTGCTGCAGCCGGACTGCGGCATAATATTAATAAGCAGTAATGGCTATATTAACGTCATATAGAGTTGCTATCAAAGAAAGAAAATTACCAGAGGTAGGATGAGACATAATACAATGATAAAAGTAGAAAATGCAGGAATCCTAAATGTGTATACCTGAAAGCTGCGAGAAATGTGGAGCAAAAACTGACAGAATTAGGAGAAATAGACAAATCTACAGTTACAGTTGGAGAGGTCCTTGGCCTTCTCTCAATATCTATTTGATAAATTAGATAAATGAGTCAGAAAACTAGCAGAGATACATAACTTATCAATAACATCAACCAATGACATCTCATCTCTATAGAATATTCCATCTAACAAACATAGAATACAAATTTTTTCAAATGCTCACAGGATATATACATGATAGACCACATACTAGGTGGTAGAATAAACCTCAGCCAATTTAAAAGTAAAATCAGACAGAATGGATTTCCAACTATAGTAGAGTCAAACAAAAAAATCAATAAAGGAAAGGTAACAGGAAAATATCCCCTTGGTCACACTTCTGAATAATCCATGATTCAAAGAATTGGTCTTGAGTGAAGTTTAAAAATTCATTAAGTTTGATGAAAATGAAAATATAACATAGCCAAATTTGAAGGTTGTTCATGTGTGGGGAGAGGAAGGTGAGAATATCTTTGCCTTCTGATTTATTTTTTCTGTGGGTCTCATATTGCTCTTTAAAATAGCCTATTGTTTTTTATTTGTTTTAATTAGTTACCCATGACAGTACAATGATCTTCACATATCATATATTTGAATCAGGTGGGATATAATTTCTCATTTTTCTGAGTGTACAGGTTGCAGAATCACATTTGTTATGCAGTCACGTATATACACACAGCAATAATAATGTCTATTTTATTCTGCTGTCTTTCCTTCCCCTTAGTCTATTGTTTTTTAAATGGAGGCCTTACCTCTCATATAACAAACTCTGTGACAACCCCATAGTAATTAATAAAATGTGGTATGCAGGATAAACAAAGAGAAAAATTAAATACTTAAGCAGACATGTGATCACCTGATTTAAGACAATGATGTCACTTTAGAAATAATGGAGATCATCTTTTAATAAATGGTGCAAAGTAATTTGGGTATTCACATGAAAAAAGTCACCCTAACATTATTCACTTGAAAAAAGTAATTTAAAATTTATTATAGCTTTCAACATGCAAAGTATAGTTATTAGTTTGTGAAAATATATCACATAAGAATTTTTTATGCCTTGGAATATGGAAAAGATTAACTAGTACACACAAACTATTAACTTTAAATAAAATATATTGACAAATCAGACCAAATTAAATATTTCTTGATCAATGTCACCATAATAAATTTTAGATACAAGCATAGAGCCCAACTACTATGTATAATCATTGAGCTCTTAAAATTATAAAAAGTAAAAGCATAGAGTGGGAAAAGATATTTGCAACACATGTGTCTGAAAAGATATTTCCAGAATATAGAAGATAAGTTCTCCAGACTAATAAGGAAACAGGAAAATGTCCCAAATAGCAAGTATTATAAAAGAATGTATACTAATGACCAATAAATTTTTGAAAATGGGCATGATTTCTTGGGTGATTGTAAATGTTAATTAAAACCACAAATGATATTACCACACACTCAGTAGAGTGGTTAAAACTGAAAAGACAACATCAAATGTTGATAAGGATATGAAGAACCTGGAACTCTCATACTTTGCTGGTATTACTCCAACTACTTTTGAAAAATAATTCATAATATTTACAAAATCTAAATATATATCTTGCATTAATGCACAACAATCTAAAGTCTATGAATATATTCAATATATATTGTGGTAGTACGCCCCCCCCCAAAAAAAAAAAAAAAAAAAAAAACCTCAAAGCTGAAAAAACTCAAATTTTCAGCAACTGGAGAATGTACAACAATATCATGGTATATTCATACATCTGAATAAATACAAATCTATGAGAACAAAACAACTTAGAACAAGATGACACTGGTCATTTTACTTAACAGAATACTGAATGAAGGTCAACAACAGTAAAACTCTATAGCTTTATTGTATAAAAGTTCAAAAGAAGGCAGAGATAACTATGATAATAGAAATCAGGATAGTGCTTATCTTTTTGGAGGGAGGGTAAAAACAATGAAATAAAGAGACTTCTTGGGTCTTGGTAGTGTTTCAACAATCTAGAGTATTTTTATAGAAGTATATACACTTTGTTAAAATTCGCTGAGTTGATATTCACTGTGGTATATTCATATATTTACATATAAAAGATTGGTCAGATTCATTCCACTGTTACTGCCCAACCCATCCCGCCTTCCTCCCCTCCAACTGCTCTACTGATCTTTCCTCTAGTTTGATGGAATACACCTTTCTTTCAGACATTTTTCCATTAGCTTCTACACACCACAGCAAATATTCAAACTTTGACTTTGGAGGCTGAAGGAGAAAATTATTTACATGCCTTTGTCATTATATCAAAGAGTATTGTAATCTTATATATAAATAAAAAGAATGAGTGTGAAGTACATACAAGAGGAAGAAGGATATCAGTTACCCAAAATCTTTCCCTATTTTTAATTTTTAAAAATGTACTTGCTTGTACACTTATGACTTGTGACATTTTATGTTGGCGTGTTATACTTCAAAATGAAAGTTAATTTTGTGAATAGAAATTTTTGTAGATATCCATTATAATTTCTTAAATACAATCGAATTATAAACCCACAAGAAAAGTTTCTTTCAAAAGAAACTTTCATGTTCTTCAAAAGAAAATGAAGAGAATATTCATATATATCACATCAGTCTGTTCTTACAGTATTCTTTCACTGAAAATCAACTCAGAAAATGTTTATTTAGAACATCTAATAACTAGGATATAAAATTAAGGGTACTTTTGTGATTAAAAGGTTCCTAATACACACCAGATTTAGAATTTGGTCTGAAATGCAAATATTATATGCAATAATAAGTAAGGACGCCTGGTGGCGCTGCAGGTTAAGCGTGTGAATAATGGGCTCGGGATGCTACGGACGCCATTGAGCTGGGAATCGGAACTCTGAAAGCTCCACAAAAGAAGGCGGCATTTTAGATGAGCTCCAAGAGACGGATCTTCGAAGAACTAATCGTCCTAAGTGCATGCCAGAAAAAAAATATTTAACTGAAGTTGATTTAACTAAATCATCTCAGTGGATTGTATACCGGGTTGAAGGAACTGCATCTTCTGGACGGATTTGAACAATGCAGACTGCTCTAGCAAAACCCCCGCAGAAAAGGCAAGTCATCTTTCTTGCTATGCTGTTGTTTTTGTGGGAGGCTGACTCTGAGGCAATTAGGTATTCCATTCCAGAAGAAATAGAAAGCGGCTACTCTGTGGCCAACCTGGCAAAAGATCTGGGGCTCAGGGTGGGGGAGCTGGCCACTCGGGGGGCGCGAATCCATTACAAAGGCAGCAAACAGCTCTTGCAGCTTGATGTAAACACCGGCAATTTGCTTCTACAGGAAAAACTAGACCGGGAGGTGCTGTGTGGGGCTACAGAACCCTGTGTATTGCATTTCCAACTGTTACTGGAAAACCCGGTGCAGTTGTTTCAAATTGATGTGCATCTCATAGATGTAAATGACCATTCTCCAGAGTTCCTAGACAGGGAAATGATCCTTAGAATCCCAGAGAGCCTCCAGCCAGGGTCTGTGTTTGCTTTGAAATCAGCTCAGGACTTGGACATGGGTAGCAACAGTGTTCAGAACTACATAATCAGCCCCAACTCCTATTTTCGTGTTGCTACTCACAACCGCGGTGATGGCAAAAAATACCCAGAGCTGGTATTGGACAAAGCCCTGGACCGGGAGGAAGAGCCTGAGCTCAGTTTAACTCTCACAGTGCTGGATGGTGGGGCGCCGCCCAGGTCTGGGACTGTCACAGTTCGCATTGAAGTGATAGACATCAATGATAATGCCCCCGAATTTTTACAGTCCCTGTATGAGGCACAGGTTCCTGAGAACAGTCCCATAAACTCGTTAGTTCTTGTTGTCTCTGCTCGAGATATAGATGCAGGAACTTATGGGCGTGTATCCTACTCTTTACTAGAAGGTGATGAAGTTTCTCAACCATTTGTAATACACGAAAAAACAGGAGAAATTCATCTGCAAAGAGCATTGGATTTTGAAGCAACCCGACATTATATCGTAGAAATTGAAGCAACAGATGGTGGAGGCCTTGTGGGAAAATGCACAATGGCCATAGAAGTGGTGGATGTGAATGACAATGCTCCTGAACTAACCATGTCCACACTCAGCAGCTCTATCCCAGAAAACTCCCCAGAGGCTGTAGTTGCCATTTTCAGCGTTTCTGATCCAGACTCTGGGGACAATGGTAGGATGGTTTGCTCCATAGAAAACGATCTCCCCTTCTTCTTGAAACCCGCATTTAAGAATTTTTATACCTTGGTGACAGAGAGGCCGCTGGACAGAGAGAGCAGAGCAGAGTACAACATCACCATCACAGTCACTGACTTGGGGTCACCTAGGTTGAATACCGAGTACAGCATAACTGTTGTCATCTCAGACGTTAACGACAACTCCCCTGACTTTACACAAACCTCCTATATGCTGTTAGTGCGCGAGAACAACAGCCCTGCCCTACACATAGGCAGTGTCAGAGCCACAGACAGAGATTCAGGCACCAATGCCCAGATCACCTACTCGCTGCTGCCAACCCAGGACCCACACCTGCCCCTCGCCTCGCTGATCTCTATCAACGCAGACAATGGGCAGCTGTTTGCGCTGAGGGCGCTGGACTTCGAGGCCCTGCAGGCATTCGAGTTCCGCGTGGGCGCCACAGACCAAGGCTCGCCAGCACTCAGCAGCCAGGCGCTGGTGCGAGTTGTGGTGCTGGACGACAATGACAACTCGCCCTTCGTGCTGTACCCAATGCAGAACGCCTCTACGCCCTGCACCGAGCTGGTACCCAGGGCGGCAGAGCAGGGCTACCTGGTCACCAAGGTGGTGGCAGTGGACAGAGACTCGGGCCAGAACGCCTGGCTGTCATACCAGCTGCTCAAGGCCACGGAGCCCGGGCTGTTTGGCGTGTGGGCGCACAATGGCGAGGTGCGCACCGCCAGGCTGCTGAGCGAGCGCGACGCGGCCAGGCACAGGCTGGTGGTGCTGGTCAAGGACAATGGCGAGCCTCCGCTGTCTGCCAGCGTCACGCTACACGTGCTGCTGGTGGATGGCTTCTCCCAGCCCTACCTGCCGCTCCCGGAAGAGGCGCCAGAGCGCGCGCAGGGGGACTTGTTCACTGTCTACTTGGTCATCGCCTTGGCCTCTGTGTCATCGCTCTTCCTCTTCTCTGTGCTGGTGTTCGTGGCGGTGAGTCTGTGCAGGAGGCGCAGGGCGGCGCCGCTGGGTGTCTGCTCTGTGCCTGAGGGCCACTTTCCTGGCCACCTGGTGGATGTTAGCGGCACTGGGACCTTGTCCCAGAGCTACCAGTATGAGGTGTGTCTTGCTGGAAACTCTGGGTCTGGTGAGTTCAAGTTCCTGAAACCAATATTCCCCAATCTCTTGCTTCAGAACACTGGGAACTAAGGAAAACCCCCAAATAACTTTTATAGTTTTGTATTTAATTAATTATTGTATTTGTTTCAGTTAATCTATTAATCTGGGCAACTATTCTTACAATACCTTTCTCAAATATTGATAGCACTATACCAACAATATTCTTTCTCTGGTAGTGCTTCATATATTTTTTGTGTGTGTGTATGGTTGGTATTCATTATAATTAGCATTTAAATGACACTATTTATGAGTATGCGTTTTCTCCCCATTTGACCTTCTTGGTGAATACTATTTCTCTAAGTAGAAATTACTCAAATAGTGCTCAAATTTTATTTTTAGCAACTTCTTAAATTAGTTAATATTAAAGCTTTTATGAAACCTTGAATTGTTATTACTTGTAGTGCCAGTGTTTACCATATAACTTCCTCTTTCAACTCCAGAGTGTTTGAAATTTCGTTTTATTTCATTGGTGCTGGGTATAGATGCTCAAATTTCCTGCATGCTAATCAAGCACGTATTCCACTGATCTTGATACCCAGGTGAAATACTTTATATTTATCTTGGCATTTCTCATTGAGTACACTACCAACTTAAGCTCTCTGAAGAAATGTAAGCATGAAACTTAGCATACTTTTTTTCTCCCAAATTGTATATAAATATTTACTTTGTTAAAATGTCTCTATACTAAAACTGTGGCCTGTTATGAGCAACACATGTTAGAGATTATCTTAAACATTTGGTTACAGCATATCTACTGCATTATATTTTCATAAACATTAATATTAAATTAAAAATAATTCTCATCTACAAATACTAAAGAGAACATCTTTGTAATGTCTTATTTGTTTCACTAAATGAAACTGTTAAGGGGCTGAGGGCATGACCCAATGGTAGAGCATGCATGCATATATGCTAAGCCTGGTTTCAATTCCCAGCACCAAAAAAAAAAAAAAAAAAAAAAAAAAAAAAATTAGAAATTCTGTTAAAGAACATCTTGGTATAATCCTTTAAAAAATAATCTTAGAATCTGAAATAAACCCTAAGCTTCTCCAAAGAATTCGGGACTCCTGAGGGCATCATATATGTTCTTACCCTTTCCTCAAGTTTAAGTGTAGGAGAATTTTGTTTGTCATTGTCACCACTAGGTTTGCAGTAACCAAATAAGTAATGTAATATCTAACATCATATATTAAAATAAGTAATATTTTATTTCTGAATACATTGGAACAGTAATTAATTTACCTGAATTATAATTGTTTTTGTTGCATTCAATAAGCCAAGTAGGTGAATTATGTGATTTCTAACTAGTAAATTTATATGAATAAAACTATAAGAAAATTTCTTTGGAGCTTTGGCAAAACATGAACAATTGAAAAACTTGCTATAATCTAAACACATTTGTGTTTTAATCTCAAATATCATTCTACTGGAGTTTACAGTACATGAATTTTTCCCCCGAGTTACTCTTTTTTTTCCCCCAAGTGATAAAATGAAATTAAAAAGGTAAATTACTTAACATTTGTTATTCTTGAAATATAATTTTCCAATTTAAGTTAGGAAGAGAGAAAAGTGAGAAAAGAAACACAAACATGTAAGATACAAACATAGAAGTCAATGGTAATGACTTCTCCATTTATTAGAAATTTAAATTAAATAGTTTTTATGTATGATAATAAGAAATAGGGTTGAAGGTTTTACCAATATATTTCAACACACAAAAATCCAAGTTCATTTTTTTTGTTTATGCTAGGTTAGTCTAATTTATATAATCACCTAAATGACACTGGACAAATAAAACCCATTCCACTTCATCCTTGGAAAAAGAATGGATCATTCCTTACCAATCAGAGCCCATCACAACAGATCAACTTTTTGAAATTCACTAATTGGAATTTAGCAATAAACACTGTAAAATTTCACAACATGATATACCTCATAAAATGTGCCAGTTTGATGGCCACAGGAAAAAAAATAGAATGGAAGAAAAATATCTTAATAATAACACCCATTTAAACATTTTTTGTCTCTCAAATATACACAACTTTTGTAATTCCTTTGCTGTTGTTTTAGGCACAGCATGTAGTGAGTTCAATGCATTCTTTTGGGAAGCAAATAGCACAGATCACTCAGATTGTCTCTTCATAATCAAAAGTTGCAAAAATGTATTTTTAAAAGTGTTAAGTTAAAACTCATGAATACATTTGATGGAATTCTGCTTCCAGGTTAGATGGATTATCTGGCAGCAAAAAGCAACCATGAAAATTGGCTAAATATCAGAAATTACCTCTCTACAGCAACAGAGGTCAGATGATAGGATAAGAAATGAGTGGCTTAGGATTTCTGAAAAGAATGCTTTGGGATGAGAACTAAGTCCTACAGTCAGTTTTCTTCCAAGGAAATTTGCTAAGTCAGGAAACAAACAACAGATTCTTAACAGGGACAGACTAACTTCCATAGCCTTTAGCAGTCTGTAAGATTCAAGCTCAGGATCAGTTTCCCCATTTAGGTCACTTGTCAAACTCAGCACAGCCCAGGGCAGAAGTCTAAAAACGCAAGTGGAAAATTCTTAGAAAGCAGGATGAAATTTTCTTTACTATTTGAAGATTGGAGTTTGGGATCTGCCATGGGAAGAGGCATAGAAAATATACCAATTTTTCAATTGACAATTCTGTAGGCAAGGTACTTTTTAGGATAGCAAGGAACCTTGACTAAACTAAGTGAGTTTCACTTTAGCCCAATTTGACTAGTTAGAGTTCTATCAGGCCAACAGAGGAAAAAGTGAACCCTCCTGGTTCAATATCACTTTGATCCTGGACATCTTTTTACATAAATATCGAGAATTCAGTAAAAAGTTACAAGCCACCTACACACAAAACTGGATGATCTAAGTAAAATCAAGAGAAAAAACACAAAACAAATGACTTCCAGATAATCTAGATAGTGGAATTAATGTTAGAATAAGCATGAATAATATGTCAAAAATAAGGAACAATAGAGAAAATAGATGTAAAGAGAATTTAACCTGACAACTGAAATCTTAAAATGGACATTCATTCTTTAGCTGCAAAATTATAATATTTGATGTAAAACTGTTGAAATAGTTTAATGTCATAGATATAAAAGACTACAGGATTAGTGGAAGTGAAACAGATCAATATAAAATATTCAAATAGGAACCCCAAAATAATGAAAAACAACATTAATGAAAAACTCTAACTTACATATGATTATAATCCTAGAAGGATAAGAGGGAGTAGAGTGGTAATAAGCAGTATTTGAACAGTTAATGACCAAGAATTTTCCAAAATTGTGTCTTTAAATCTTCAAGATACTCAGAGAAACCCAATCAGGATAAAAATTTTTAAAAAGTCCAAAAATCAAAACCAAAAGTCAAGATACAAGTCAAAGAGAAAAAAAAATCTCAAAAGCTATCACCTAAAATATCACATATTACTTTTAAAGAAGCATGGGTAAAACTAACCTTCAACATGTTAGCTTTTAAAGACAAGAAAATTATTAATAGACTATAATTCTATCACCAGCAAACATTTCCCTCAGCAATGAAGTTGTCAAAGAAGCAAAAACTGACAGAGTTAATCACAGTCACACCTGCACTAGTGGAAATACTTCCAGTGGAATTCATTAGGCAGAAAGAAAACAGTCCTAAAAAGATCACAGATTTGCAGGAAGAAATAAAAAGACAGGAAGGGTAAATATAAATGAGTATTGATTTAATGTTGATTATACTGGGCACTATTAGTAGATTTTTAAGGATTTAAAATATGCATTAATGTTGGGGTCTGTAAATAGGTCAAGATGGCGCCTGGCATTTTGCCAAAGGGGGTGGTTTGTGAAGTAACGCCAGCGAGCCATTAAGTGTGGAGATTCCTTATTGGTTGACTGCTGTATCTAGTTTATGTTAATCAAGATAAGCTGTGTGTAATGTGTATATACCCCTCCGGTCCTACAATAAACGGCTCCTACTCCTGCTGTATCAATGTACACAAGTTGTTCGTCACCCCCCGGTTATTTTGCTGCAGCCGGACTGCGGCACATTAAATTTAAGTTCATAACAACAACAACAATGTGAGAGATAGAGGCACAGATTTGGAGAGTTCTAATGTTTTAATTAAAATTATGGTGATATTCAGATCAATAATTTGTATTAGATTCTTATAGATTAAAGATCATGCTGTGATTTCTTGAATAGCCTCTTAAAGAATAACTAAAAAAACTATTTGATGGGAAATTTTTATATAACAAATATTTGAATACCAAAAGAAGAACAAAATTTCTGGGATAAGTAAAAAATAATTAGATGTTAATTATAGATGGGAAGATATCAAATATTACATTAATAATACAATTAAGCTAACAGTATTGTACACCAGATTTAAGAAAAACTCAATATTGCTATCATATGTATGTGTATGTGATAGAACACAGAAAATTGAAAGTTTAAAAATGGAATAAGGTATGTACTACAAATACTAGCCTTTTAGTGTAGCTATATTCACAAAAGACCAAGGAGACTTTAAGGAAAGATACATTGCTAGGAAGAGAGATGTTTTATAATAATATGAAAATATAACAGAAATATGTGAGAAATATTTCCCCATAAGAAATATTTTTACTACAGAGTTAAAAAAAGTCAAATTGATGAAGTACAAATGAAAAGTAGACAAACCACAAACCTCTCAATTCTGATAGAATAAGACAAAACACATATGTGCCCCTGTATATACACACATACACACATACAAGAATATTGAAGATATCAATAACACAAAACATATTGAAATACATCAACATCCATAGCACACTCATGCATACACAATTTTGTTACACATATTTGAAATATGAAAATTGCCCATATTCTGGGTTATAAAACAAGCCTCATTTTAAAATAAAAGACATTGAGATGACTCATTATACTTTTTGACTGCAGCAGAATAAGGAAAAAAAATGAAAATATGACAAATCCCCAAATGCTTCAAAATTAATTAATAAAACCCAAATCAAATTTGAAA